CCAAATAGTTATTTAAAAAGTCTGGGATCTTACACTGTATTCTTTTATAATTGGAACCAACACCAGTTTCTTGGGGCTATTTCTACTGTCCTGAATTGGGGAACCTGCAGGACTGATGTTACAAATGTAACAAGAAACAGTTCACTGGGTTTTTCTGTAATAATTAATAGAACTTGCAGGGTCTCAATTACACCAAAAATGGCTTTCAGAGCCCTCACATTGCTGCAGGTTTTTTTTGTAGTTTTGAGTATTTGAGATCGTGGAATACTTTGAGGATGGAAATGAGAATAAGGAACTTCCAGCCATGTGCCTTCTTAAGAACACAGTCCTGTAAAAAACCAAGATATACAAGAATATTAATTCCCCAAAAGGAATTAATAATCTTCTTGCAAAGGAAGGAGATTTGGACCTGCAATGGAATTTATATGTACATCCCTTCTCCTCAGACATCCTGAGGGGCTAAGGGGCTCAAAAAACCAGAGAGGATGATGAGATTCATCCCTTCAAACAACATTTCTGTGGCACATCAGCTGGAACCTCGCTGGCTTGGACACACCTCAGGAGTCCCCAGAGCTCCCCAGAGAGAACTTTTCCCTGCTCCTCCTGCACAGTGACAGTGCTCAGTGAGCACACCCTGCAGCTCCCTGCTGGCCTTGGCATGCTGCAGACAGGAGTTCTCTCCCCACACGTGGGGCTGTTGCTGTTATAAGCTGCAAAATTTGAAATAAGAGTAGAGGTTCCCCTTCCCATCATCTCAGCATGGAAGGATGTGAGTAGAGCTGGGTGTCAGGGCAGGGAGTTGAGCTGAGGATCCTCCACATTTTTCCCAGCCTCTTTTTCCTGTTCCTTCTCCTGTAGAATGGGAGTGAGCAGTGGAGCTGGGAAGGAAAGCAAACATGAAAATCAGATGGGCCATTGCCAGAATAGCTCCTGAGTATCAGAAATTCTCAATGTGCACACGAGGCCCCCAATAAACAAGCCGTTGATGCTTATTCATTTTTTATTTGCTTTCTGTAGTAGTGCTTTGGAGAAGACGTGTTTCAAGTCTTTGTACTTACAAAGTTGTGACTGCTGGCTGATATTTATCTCTTCCTGGTGACATGCATTTATGGTCTTGACAAACAAAGGCTCAAAATAGGCTCTGTGTCCTCTTTACAAAGAAAGCATGTGAGGGGAAAGAACCCCAACAAAGTAAATAGAGACAGGAGCTTTTTGAGCATGGGAATGCTCATCTCTGTTATGGTGAGCATGCTGAGCTACAACAAGCTGGCATAAAAATCTTAAAAACTAGGTTAAGACTCACAAGCAGCAGAACAAATGCTTTCTGTTGCTGCATCTAAGAAAACTGCTCCTAGCAAGGCTATTTGTGCCTTGGTCATCAGAACAATTTGAACACGAAAGCTGATTCTGTCAATCCAAATGTACCCTGAATTCATTTTTCTAAATAACAACACAAAACCCCCACATCTGTGGTGCTCAGAGATCACATGTAGGCTTCAGATTAAGGAAAATGAGGTTGTTTAATATTCTGCTGATTCGAGAAAAACAGCCCTGACATGACTCACCTCTTTCCTTTTTCCCCAGAGAACCATTCCTTTCTAACACAAGCTTGGATTTCTCTTTATATAACCAGCTCATACAACAGACATTCAGCTGCCTGTCAGAGAGAAAACAAACTAATCAAATCATCCATACAATTTATATAGTTGCATTAAAAAAAATATCAAGGAAAGTCATAGCAAATGGACATGCATTGGTTTGGCTGTGGACTATGCATAAAAAAAAATAAATTTCTCTTCTGTGTTCCTTCTGTGGATATTTCATTTCAAGAAGTATTTTCCTGCAACTGAATGGATGCCAATTGCAGAGATATTTGCTACTAAGCTAAAAAAAATTCATCATAACTTTTCATCATAAATATAAAAGGCTAGAAATCCTCTGAGAGATAACTAAACAGATCAGATCATTGAACTCTGGGAAAATGCTGAAAACTTGTTTACCACAAGACTCCTATAGTGAGAAAATAAACCAAACAAAAGGGGAGTCATGTTTCTACTAATAGCCATTCTGATCCTGCAAACAGCTTTGTTTGTGACACCTACAGAATCACATGAAGTAGTGAATGGAAAATTGAGGACAATTTTTCAGGTGCTTTGTACCCACAGGTAGAACCAGGCTTAGTTTCACTCCAATTTCATTCAAATTGCAGAGGGATTTACAAATCAATACTCTTGGAATATATTAGTTAGTGCCTGCCTCCATCAGCTTTATTGAGCTCTGAGGAAAGGCTCCATTCCTGTTTGGTGTTGGTCTTTCAACACGAAGACAGGACTTTGCTCACATTTATCTTTCCCTCTCTAAAGCCCTGCCCCAGAAGGAATGCAGAGCCTGATTTAGGGTAAGGAAGTAGGAAGTGCCACAGATGCATCATCACCTCTGACATTTGAAAGTAAAAGACATGCAGACAATCCTAATTTTAACACAAGAGACATTATTCAGCAACATAAGTTTGAATAATTCAACACTTTTTTTTTTTTTTGGTACCTCCTCTCCCAACCATGATGATGGTTGATTTTGGAAAGAACAAGGTCCAGGGCAGCTCCATCAGCTGCCACAAACCACACCAGGGATTTATCCCCAGATTGAGCTCTTGGTGCTTGGTTTGTCAGGGATGAGAGAAAATGCTCTTTAAGTGAAAGCAGCAAGGCAGATTCCAGCCCTGTTTGACTGTTTTGTACCAGGCAATATTTTAAATCCAAAGGAATCCTATAAAATGTCCTCTACAGAGGCAATCAGTATGGGAGCTGGTTAAAAATACATCCCTCTCATCCTGTGAGCTTCTACAGCTATTAAAGATGTCTTGGAGATATTTTCTTGGGTTGAAAATATTTGAATATTCGGTCTTATACAAATGCTTAAATCTGATATGAAACTTCTCAACCCTACATTTTAAACATGAAATCAGTATCATTCTTCATCTCAGAAGGCAGCTATTGATTAGTGCAAACAGACTTTCACAGAATTCACTAGAAACCATCAGCATTTTCTAGCATGACCTAAAAGCTATATAGAGAAAAACCATTTAGAACTTGCTGCTTCCTCTCCTTTTAGGACTAAAAATAGATTTGGCTCATTATCTCACTTGGCACCTTAATGTATTCCATGGCACGATGGCACAGCTCAGATTAAACCTCCACATGCTGCTTTTTCCTTAGGATCTACCTTAAACACCCCAAGGAGGGGCAGTGCTCATTGAACCAGAGACTCTTTGATATTTTACTTTAAACCCTTTTTGGGTTCTGTTCTCAGGACAATATTCCCTGTTGGATGCAGCAGCTCACCCCAGCCATGGGTGGATGCCACCCCAACAGCCTCCCTCAAATGGAAGCTTGGATGAATTTTCTCATTGAGCTCCACCATTAAATCCACGCCCACACTTTTTTCTTTCCCCCAAAGGTCAGTAGGATAACTGACTCTCAGGGACACACAGCCCAAAAGTAACTCCCAAATTAGGTGTATGCACATTTACCTCTGAAATTCCTGCTTGAAGAAAAGCTGCAAGCACACATCTCAGTGTGATAAATTTGGGTTAAATCCCCCCAAACCACAACAAATCCAACATAACTGTTGTGTTTGCCTCTGCTTTCAGAAATGGCCAAACCCCATTTTCTTTATTTAAGAATAGCAAAGTGTTTTCCACATATTAATGTAAAAACAGAGCCAGGCTCTTCTCAGTGGTGCCATGTAATAGAACAAGAGGCAGTGGTAAAAAACGATCTTAGAAAGTTCCACCTGAACATGAGGAAGGACTTCTTTGCTGTGCAGGTGAGGCTGTGGAGTATCCCTCCACTGGAAATATTCCAGACGTGTCTGGACACAATCCTGTGCCCTCTGCTCTGGGATGACCCTGCCTGAGCAGGGAGGTTGGACCAGGTGAGCCCACTGTGGTTCCTTCCACCTCAACCTGTGCTTCTGTGCACGGGAATGAAAGACTGCATTGATGGGAAATTGTCTGATAAAGGTTCATCACTAAAATTTTGCAAACATGCACCTGTCTCACAACAGGAACTTGGTTAGCTGCGTGTACAACCACTGCTCTTGAGTCACAAAGAAATCGACTTGTAGGTGAGTGCATTCCTCAGCACTGGCTCCATGCAGAGACAAAAACAGAGTTTAAGGCAGACATGAGATGAAAATCCCAACAATCTCAGCAAGTGCTGAGCGAGCATTCCACAGGACTTTAGTGGGAGAGTGATTAAAAAGCATCCTTGTTTTATACATGTCAAAACTTCAAGAAGACCTGACCTGCATCACCGGCTACAGACCAGCAGCCCCTCTGCCGGCGCTGCACAGGAGGAGCAAAAAAACCCTAAAATCCATAAAAGCAGTTATTGCCTTTAAACAAGTCCCCAGAGAATTTGCTCAGCAGAGTCGGAGCATCCCGTTTCTGCGGGGTCCCCGTGCGGCACCTTTGCCGCAGCTCCGGGCGAGCTGCGCGGGGTTCCGCGGGCGCGGAGCGGGTCTCCGCTCGTCCTGCCGAGGGAACCCCCGCGGGACACCCACTCCTGCGGGACACCCGCCCCCGCGGGACACCCACCCCGGCGGGACACCCACCCCTGCCATCCCCGGGGCGAGGGGCGCGGCGGACACCGAGCCCCGCGGCTGCCCCGGTCCGGGGCATCGCGCCGGTCCCTCCCGCGGTGCAAAGCGCCCGGCCGGCCGGGCAAGCCCCGGGACAGCCCCGGGACGGCTGCGGGGCCGCGGGCGGGTCCCGCGCACCTGCGGAGCCCCCGCCTTTGTGCAGTGCAGGTGCGGCGCCCACCCCACCCCCGTGACGTCAGGCGGGCGCTCGCGGGGCACCATGGGAGAATCCCAATGTTTTCCAACGGATGCGCTCAGCAGCGCGGCGGCTTGAGGCGACTCCGGCAGCGGCGCTCGGGGGGGAGTCCCGGCAGGGGGCGGCGGCGGCGGGGGCCCGGAGCTGCCCCCTGAGCGCCCGGAGCGCCGCGCCGCAGCCGTGCCGACGGCGCCGGGGAAGATGCTGCCGCGGCTGGTCCTGCCCGGCTGACGCCCCGGCCCCGCCGCCGCCGCCGCACCCCCGTCCCCATTGTCCCCCGGCCGCCTCCGGCTCCATGAGCGCCTCCTCCTCCCTCCTCCTCTGAGCTTCCCGCCCTCCACCTCATGGCTGCATCGGAAGAAGGGACCGGCTGCTTTCTCCCGCGAGGCAGGTCGCAGAGTGACCCCAGCATCCTCACGGACCCCGGGGAGCACCCAGGTAACCGCCCCGCTCTGGCCGGCGGCGCTCGGGAGCATCCGCCACTTTGTGGGGAGCCCGCCCGCGGGCAGGAATTGGGAGCACATTTCCCGCAGGGAGTGCCGAATTGATGGTGCAGCGGCTGAGCTGCCCACGGGATCGGGGCGAGCGCGGCTCTGCCGGAGCGGCTTCGCGTCCCGGCCGCGGCTCCGGGGCCGCCGGCAGCGCTCGGGCCCCGCGCCCGCAGAGCTCGCTCAGGACTTCGTGGGGAGGGGAAATGAGCGCTAATAAAGCAGGCTGTTTGCATGGGATCGCCATGGAGACAAGGGAAGCAGAGTCATAATTAAACACTCTCTGCCCACAAGAAGGTAATTTTCACTTCACAGGGAGAAGCGTAATCTCCTTGTGGAGTGTGGGCTTAGAGGGTGGTGCTGAGGGGACACAGCCCAGTCGTTAGTGCACAAATAGAATATTGTGATTAGATATTTTTTTTTAACAATGGCAATTGGTGTTTTCATCTTCACTTTGAGGAGTAATTCTAAATGTCTGTTGGTGGTGACTCAGTAATTTCAGATAGTCAGAATCTAAGCAGGGTTGAGACCTTTAGAAAAAAAAAGAAACAAATAGCTACATCACTTTGATGAGATGTGATTGCACGGAAAGGCACAACAACAAGCTGGAAGGAAAGGGTAAGAGCCAGTTTACTGTCAGTTTCCCTGAATAGATGGAGGACACACAAGAGCTGTCAGGTTTCTTTATGAGAAAAGAAGTTATCAAAACAGTGTAAAGACAATGAATGGGGTGTTGATCATCACTACCCACTCCTGATTCCTAAGCCTAGAGATGGGTTTAGGTGTTGGGTCAGGCACTATCAGCCAGGAGACAGTCCCTGGATGCAATTTCAGGTTGAACTTTGCTCCCTTTCTCAGATTGCTGAGTAAACAAAATATTCCAGGCTCTATTCATACACCTGCTATATTGCTTCCTTCTGAGCCAATGAGGATATTAATATTTGTATCTAATTTAAGTTCTTCTATTTATTTGCCTTATCGAGCAATTGTGAGCACACTGGTCTGGAGTGAAATACAAATTGAATTAAGGCAAACAGTGGATGATTTATCTCTGATTACCAACTGTTCTGATGCCCTAAGTGAAGGGAACAAAGGACTCTTCTAACATGAACTGCTCGACTCACTCCCAAAGGGGCAATCTTGGCTGAAAGAGGAATGTATGTTTCTGCCATTTGATTTCTGGAAGCAGAAGTGACTAATGAAAGGAAGGCGTGTGCAACCTCCGTTTTAATTCCTCTAGATTGCTTTCTGCTAATTAATTCTTTCGGCCTTTGTGAGATACACAACAAAGAAAGTACACAACATGTCCGACAAGTAGACAAAGATATAAACATTATTGTGCTTTTTGTTGGGAGAAGGAGCTGTCAATACCAAGGAGCATTTTTCCCCTAATACAGACCCCATCGGACAAACCAGTGTCCCAGTGCACGGCAGGAGCTCCACTAAAATGCAAGAGAAGGTGTTTTGTATGTATTCTGTCATTCGTGCAATGTGTGGAGACAAACAAAGGTGTTAAATACATATGGTTTTTGTCCTGGTAGGTGTGAATAGTCAGTGGTAGGATGAGCATGTTTGGTAAGATTTTCAGGTTTTAAATTCATTCATCAAATAGTATTCAACATCTGTATGCTTCCACATGATAATAAAATGAACCTAAATTGCTTAATTTAGATAAAATTTTATTCTGCAGTGTGAGTAATCATTATGAGCAATTTCATACATTTGGCTACTTAAAAATCTGGAATACAATTTATATTATTTTAAGAATTATGAATGCTAGATGATGTAATAGCAGTTTATATTATTTTACTGTCCTGGAAAATAATTGTATCATTGTCATTATACCAGCATAATCATCTATGTACTCTAAGTCAAAAGACAGTCTTAGGAGTGGGAAATGATGTGTCCAAAGTTTGTGTTTACATCCCAACTCTGCTCACAGACAAAGCATGTAGGGAAGTGTGAACATGTAAGATTCTTCCTTAATCTAAAAATTAATGTTATTATCATTTAAGTTACATGTTTAGATTACAGACAAACAGACCAAAATTATACCAAAATCTGAGTATAATAGGATGTAGGATCCCTACAAAAACCATTCCTGCTTTACCTGGCCTTTGAGTGATGCCGTATCCCATCTTGTTTTGGAGCAGTTTTTGGCTGTGTGATGTGGTCGGGGGTTATTCTGCACCAACTCATTTGGATGTGCCTGCTGAGGAAAGGCTACTGGGGTGGGCAATGTAGGAATAGATGAAGGCAGCCTGGACTCTGAAAATTTTCCTGGTGGTTTTTTGGTTTAAAGACATATTTTTATTCATCTTCTTGACCTGTACAATTACAGGATTTTTTGGTTTAGCCCAGCTTTATGCAGGATGTTACAGTGCCATGGCTGAGAGTGTAGAGCTGGCAGCATAAAGATTTTCACGTACTTCCCAAAGGAAATCCTGTGATGCAATGCTTCATTTCCCTTCCCCTCCTGAAACACCAGTTTAACCAGTAGAACTGACCTATCCCAGCAGGGTTTGAGCCTTGCTGGCTGTCTCAGAATCTGCTCCCACTGGACCAAATCACCCCTTTTTAGCTGACCCTGAGCAATGTGAGCATCAGACCCAAGGAATTTGGGATGAGCACGCTGCAGATGCAGATGTTGGTTCCCCTTCCCAGTGCTTCATTTACAGTTGTTTGATGAACTGTTGCTTGGGTGAAGTGTTAAAGGGAGTTTCCCCATGTGAGAGCAGAGCTGAAGTTGGTTGTTTGTTTGTGAGGTTTTTGTTGTGTTTTGTTCATTTTAAAGAGGATTCTGTTTTCATCCAGCCAGAGCATGGGATAACTCAGTAACTGGCTGGATCAAGTAGCCTTAGCTGCTGATTTTTGAGAAGTCCTGCACACTCACAGTCCTGACTAATGCCAGCAGAAGCTGCAATTATTCCAAGCCTTGAACAATAAAGGCTTCATGATAAAGCCTCTTATCTAGTGTGCCTTTCCTCACAAAGCATTCACTGCAGAAATGAAAAGCTGTTTTATAACCTTGATTTGGAAGAGCTGTAATCTTTACAGACTACAGTGAATTTTATCACATGTAAAAAACTTAGAAAATTACCACATGCCACTACAATCTTACAAATATTCCTGTAATAAGTCAGATAAACAAGATGTTCAGTAAACTAAACTAGGGACAGTTAATAGCTATTTATTCCAAAACAGAAATACAAATTCTCTCATTCAGGTCCTTCATGTGCAACTTAAATTAAAACAGCAGCTCCTCACAGTGATCAGTAAAGATGTCACAGTCTAAGAAGAAAAGATGGACTTTAGTTCAGGCTCTGCTGACAGAAAGATGATTTTCTCCAGCATTTAAATGGTGCATAGAGGTCCTATTGGTAATGCAGAGATTACTGGAAACAGTGTTTTTTTGCTTTAATTGGATCAGTTGTTTATTTTCTCCTTTAAGATAAAATCATGCATTTCAGCCTGTATTTGAGTGAAGTATTTTATGGCCACTGAGCAGTATTTTATGAGAATTGCTGTAGTACAACAAACACTGGGCTTCATGTTCGAGTCTGTTTAAGTTCACTGTCACGCTGAGTGAGCAAGCCTTGAAATAGGAGGATGTCCTTAGTTTGGGAAACAGACATCAAAATACTCATGTCTTGCTTAACTGTAGACTGTCTCTAGGCCAGGCTGTTGTTAAGAAAGTGAATTTCATCTCATTCACAGAATCAGGGAATGAATTGGGTTGGAAGGACCCTTAGAGATCATCTGGTTCCAGCTCCCTGCCACAGCCATGGCACCTTCCTGACCTGATTGGATCAGGTTGCTCCAAGCCCCATCCAGCCTGGCCTTGAACACTTCAGGGATGTCAAGAATCTCCTTATCTTTTATGCCTTTCCCTCCTTCACCTTTCCAGATAAGGAACAAGAAAGGAAGGAAAGTCTAAAGAGAACAGATTTCAGTATCACCATCTAATTGAGAGACAGTTGCAGGAAGCCAAAATATTGCTCTCATTATATCCCTCCAGCAGTCACAGGGCAGAGGGAAGATTGACAATCTCATTTGATTTGTATCAAAAAAGGGAGGGGTGCACAGACTGGAGAAGAACACACCATGTCAAAACTCTGTATTACTTGAGGAGATACAGACAACCATGACAATGTGTGAAAATGTCACCCCCCTTCCCCCCTTAATTTTGGGATAATCCATTTGAATTTGTATAAGTACACATTGATGCCATCATGTTTTGCTCTCTGTGCTGCTGCCTTTCCTTCCTGGCACCACACAATTAAAGAAAATCTTCAGGATGGGCATTACTGAGCTCTCCAGCAGACCTTGCCAGTGGTCCACCATGTGTTCCTTGTCCTTCAGTGAAGGATCTGTGTTGAGGTAGGGAGCTGCTGTGCTGCAGGCAGTGGTGTTAGATGCTGTTAACAGCTCTGTCATCATAATTTCTTACTGCCTGGTGAAGGGGGGCTCCTCAGCCTCTCCTCTGGTGTGGTGTGCTTCAAGACCTGACAAGTTAAAGCTACTGCAGAGTAGCTGTTCCAGAGATACATGATTATGTCTTCACCAGACACTAATTCCCTTTTTATTTCTATTGATACCATGTGTCATCAGCAGCACTGAGCTCTGAATTAACTCCAGGGGAGAACAACTGCATAAGACTTAGAAGGTCCTCCATCACTGTTTCTAGTTTTCATAATTCAGACGTTCTGAAGCAGGCAGCATTCTTGTTAGTATTCTTCTAGGATGCTAAGAAGAGATGCTGAGATGAGAATTGAACTGCTATGATGTTTTACATCATCTTTTTTTGGGCTGGAGGCTGACCTGGAGCCCAGCAGGGCCTCCCAGGCAGTGTGAGGAAGGACATCAGCCATCTGAGTAACAGCCAGGGAAAGTCATGATGCAGTAAACAGCAGGTGTGGGAATACTCTCTAATATGGCTTTTTCTTTCTT